ATGGTTTCTCCCATGTGCCAAGGCTAGGCCTCTAAGAAAATTCTCTATCTTCAGTGGCAATGCCTGAGAGGATGACATGGACTTAGGCCTCATATGCAGCCATTCCTGTCTACCCTGTTCCTGCTGCAGGACAGTACCAGCCCAGGGCCCAAATCTCCTGCTGAAGAGCTGAGAAAGAAAATGGAATATCCAAAGCCTCTTACCATTTTCCAGTTCACAGCAATGGTTACCAGTGCAGTCCATTTGCCTCTGAGGACACCCACCTGCTGGTCTTTGGCTTCTAAGATTCAGACCTCCCTGGCTTCTCTGGGTCCCAGCTGCTTTCACTCTGCTGAGCCCTGCTCTTTCCCATGGGGGTCACTCCCCTGCCAGGCATGTCCTCCAGCTCCAGCTGACATGTCAGCCAACCCAGAACCAAGAGAATGAACAAAGATTTCAATATCTAGTATGTCCAGCAGAGATGCAACCTGTACAAAAAAATAAAGAAGTAGAGATGCACACAGCTCCCCTGACAATATTGTGTACCAAAGCAATGTCTTCTGTGCCCCTCATGAAGGAGGTCACTGTCCCTCACCACATAGGCAAGTGCTTTCAGGTCTCTCAATTCCTCAATGGGAGGCAACACACATTTTAACAGAGTACCTCAGCAATGGAAGTGGTGATAATTTACCTACTTTGAGAAAGTTCCTGAAAACATCCCTACGCTGCAAAATTTCCCTCCGAAGAAGACAGAAAAGACTTTCCAATTGGAAAACAATGGCCTCCTTGCTTTTCAAAAAAGTACCCTTTAAATAGCCAAAACAATTTTGCCAAAATAAATTGCACAACTTGAACTTTCTTATTTGAAATCTCACAAGACATTACAACTACTAAAAACAGAAGCTGCTGGAATAAGAACAAAAATAGGGACCAAAGGGATAGAATTGAGAGTCCAGAAATAAACCCTCACCCTTATAGTTCATTGCTCTTGCATAAGGGTGTCAAGATAACTTAATGGAGGAACAATCATCCTCTCCAATAACGGTGCAGAAAGAACTAGATAACCACATGTAAAACAATAAACTTAGAGAACTATACTTACAACCATATCAAGCAATTATCTAAAAATGGATCAGTGAGTTAATTATAAGATCTATAACCATAAAAACATCTTAGAAAAAGACATAGGGGTAAAGCTTAATGACCTCAAATGTGCAATGGATTCTCAGGTATGACACAAATGCCTGAAAAACAAAAAGGAAAAATAGATAAATTGAGCTAAAGACACAAGCCTTTTGTGCATCAAAGGATATTATCAAGAAAATAAAAAGACCAAACACAGAATGAGACATAATAGTTGCAAATCACTCAGGCAATGGTTTCATACCCAGAATATATAAAGAACGGCTACAACTCAAAAACACAAAGACAAACCACCCAATTTATATAAATGGGCAAAGGACTCAAATAGACATTTCTTCAAAGAAGATATGCAAATCATCAAGAGGGACATGAAAAGAAACTCAATATCATTACTCATTAGGAAAAATACAAATTCAATGCCACAATGAGATCCCACACTACACCTACAAATATGGCTACCATTCTTTTAAAATGTTAAATAACAAGCGAAAGCCTTATGCAGAATTTGGAATCCTCATACATTGCTGGTGAGATTATAAAAAGGTACAGCCACCGGGAGAAACAGTTGTGCTGTTCCTCAAGAAGCTAATCATAGAATTCTCATGTGAAACAGCATCCATTCCTAGGTATATACCCAAAGAATTGAATCCAGGGACTCAAACAGGTACTCGCATGGGAATGTTGATTGCAGCATTACTCACAAAAGATAAAATATGAAAACAATCCAAGTGTTCATTAACACATGAATAAACAGATATGGTCACACATACAACCAAATGTTAATCTGCCATAAAGAGGAATGAAGCTCTGACATCCACTGGAACACGCATGGACTTTGGAAATATTATACAAAGTGAAATATATCAGAAACAAAATAACATATATATATAATTCCATTTCTATGAAACATCAAGAATAGGCAAATTCATAGAGACAGAGTAGAGGTGATCAAGGTCTAGGGTGGGAAATACAGGGAGTTATTATTGTTCAAAAGATACAAAGTTTCAGTTTACAATGATAAAAATTTTTCTAGGAAAAACAGTGGTGATGGCAACTGAACACTGTGTATGTGGCTAATTCCACTTGACTGCACATTTTAAAGTGATTAAAATTGCACATTATTTACAGAACTGTGAAAAATCAATTTCTATTAGTTAATTCACCCAGGCTAAGATGTCTGTTATGGCAGCTGAAGCCCATGAATACATCATCTGACCCAGTGTTTTCAATGAATCGTATCACATTTTCAATCAAGTTAACTGGAAGCTCCTGTCCCCAGCAGAACCAGAGGTCCCAAAACAAGAGCTCCAGCAGGGGCTCAACCAGCACAGGTCCCATAGGGCAGCCTCGATGTCAGGCCCTGGATGGCATGTGAGGCTATAGTGATACAACCACAACGTGAAAGTGTAAGTGATTTTACTACTTACAGACACTGGGGAGCACTCGGCACACCTGGAGACCACAGATGTCAAACACTGGGACCAGGAGAGCAAACACTGGGACCAGGAGATCATGCTGTGACTGACAAGTGGTCACTTTAAATGTGAGGGCAAATGTCAGAATTATCCGTTTAAAGAAAGCAGCTGGAGAGAGGGGAGCCCAGCACACCAAGCAGGAGAGATGCCTCTAAGATTTTATCTCTGGACACAAACTGGAGCCACTTGAAACAGATACAGTATTGAAAACTGCCATGGTGACCAAGACCTGACTCTGATGTGAGGCAAAAAAACTTACACCTTAAAAAATGAATGTCAAGGTAACATGACACTATGAGCACTCATGACATCCAGGGACACCAGTAGGGTGTGGTACTGTGCCCTGGAGTCAGAATCCTGGTTTCTGGTCCCTGGGAATGAGAAAATGAAAATGACTTGTCCCTGCTCCCCTGGCATTGATCCTCCCACCCTGCTGCTCCCTCTTCTGCTCCCAAGCCCATATGCAGTGCTCAGCCCCAGATATCACTGTCCCCAGGGTATACACAGTGCCGCCTAAAAACACAAACTCACAGAAGTTGACAAAAATCTGCGTTTGGGACATCCGATTGTGAAAGAGGGAGAACAGCGAACGTAGAACCGCAGAGACCGGCACTCACGGGGCTGGAATGTGATGGAGCTGCAACATAACATATGGGTGACCTCATGTGAAATGTGCAGATCCTTGAGGAATAAAACCCGCCGCCTGGCCTGGGACTAGGGCCACCCACACTTCCCTTGCTGTCCACCAGAGGGCGGTGGAGTCCCTCCCAGCCTGGATCCCAGGGGATGCAGACCTCCCTTAGCAAAACCCAAAGCAAAACCCAAAGGCACCCTCACCAGGGTCACCTCGGCCCAAGTCCTCAGGGCCCTCCATGCTCCCCACACGGACTCTGTCAGCTCCTCCCTGACCTGGAGGCCTCCAACCTGACACCACTCCCTCTGCAGGCAGCTCCTGACCCACACACCTGCTCCTTCCCTGGGATCAGCTAAAAAGACATCTCCCAGGGCAGCGATGGTGCACGCGACGCCATACTGGGCGCTCTCCCCTCGTAACCTCCCTCCATCCTAATCAACTTTTTCTGTCACTGCTCACTAAATGCCCGCCCCTACTCCATCTGTCCTGTTTTCTGGGGCATCCCAGGCCAAGCCTAGCGCTGACACAGAACAGCGGCTGCCTGAGGGTCTACAGCCTCCCCGGGAATCAGTCAGGCACCCTGTGACCTGTCTGCCCGCTGTACCCTGTGGGGCTCAGAGCGCCTGGATGGTCACACACAGGCACCATCCAGGACGTGGTCACCTACACCCGGCTATCCCTTGGGAAGACAGACCTCTCCTGTGTCCTTGCCGGGAGAAGGGGGGTATTATTGCTATTTGCTCCCAGAACACAACTCACCCCCACCCGCCCTCTCAGAGGTGGCCAACGTCCCTCCAGACAGGCTCTCTGGCGACTGCCTGTTCCTCCTCTACAGAGAGCAGCTCGGCCAGGTCAAAACCCTCAGTACAGACCCCTGGGTATGTCAGCACATGGAGGGCTGAGCCCATCACGACCACGGAGTAAGTCGGGATGAATCTGTCCAGTTCTGAAGCCCTGCTCTGTCCCAGGCTCCCCTTCTTGCATCTCAACGAGCCATGTTCCACGGGGTTCCTGGGTAACTCCCCACTTCCTCCTGCGCCACCATGGGGAAGGTGTGGTAATCACAGGACAATCAGCTGGAGAAAGAAGAGAGGACACCAAGGATGGTCAGGAACAAATGAGAAACCCTGAGCCCCAGCTCAACCACCAGACCCCAGGGAGCAATAGAGTGACTGAGAACCGTCCCTTTGACCATGGGACTCACAGCCCCCACTGAGCAACCACCACAGGCCTCTCCTCCCAAGAGACATGAGAGATTCACCCTGCACAGCTCCAGGAAGCATAGTTTCCTCTGGGACACCCAGGTCCAGAATGTCTATCCTTGGAAGCTACAGCCAAGCTAGACACAATTAAAGAAAGGAAGGGTTCCTGTCACCAGGCGACACACAGCTCACCCACAGCACAATGGGGTGTCCCTGTGACAGGGACCTGGTGCAGCTCCAGCAAGAGGGCAAAGGGTGCAAATGCGCATCCAGACCCAGACCCATGGGGACAGCAGGAGGCTGAGGCCCAGAACTGTGCTCCAACATACACGGTATGTGTGTGTCTGCGTGTGTCTCTTTTGTGTGTGTGTTTGTGTTTCTGCACATAGTGTGTGTTGAGGTTTGGTGACAGAATCACTGCTGAAAAAGACAGAGGCCTCCACAATTCCCAGGGACCTGACACACAGACAAAAGGAAAAAGAGAAGGAGGGACAAGGAGGCAGGACAGAGAGGGGAGGGGACAGAGAGGTGTCCTGGGCACAGACCCTGCCCATGAGCCTGAGAAGTGCTCCTGCCCCGGGAAGAGGTTCAGCACAGAAGGAGGAAGGACAGCACAGCTGACAGCCGTGCCCAGAAAGTTTCTGGATCCCAGGCTCATCTCCACAGAGAACACGCAGGCAGCACAGGCCATGGGGCCCCTCTCAGCCCCTCCCTGCACACTGCACATCACCTGGAAGGAGCTCCTGCTCACAGGTGAGGAGAGAACTTCCTGGGAGAGGACAGGAGAAGGAAGCAGAATCATTGGATGGGGTCTCCTGGAGAGGATGGGGTTCTAAGAAATAAAAGCAGCCAGCACTTTGGGAGGCTGAGGTGGGCGGATCATGAGTTCAGGAGTTCAATACCAGTCTGGTCAACACAGTGAAGCCCCGTCTCTACTAAAAATACAAAAAAGTTAACCAGGTGTGGTGATGTGCTCCTGTAATCCTAGCTGCTCGGGAGGCTGAGGCACGAGGTTTGCATGACCCTGGGAGGCAGACGTGGCAGTGAGCTGAGATGGTGCCACTGCATGTCACCCTCGGAGAGAGTACGAGATTCCGACTCAAAAAAGAAAGAAAGAAAGAAAAAACAAAAAACAGGAAAGAAGGCTCTGTTGGAGCCTGGATAGGGGAAAATACACCAGAGAGGGACAAAGGATAAAACAGGAAAATCACATTGAACCGGAATTGGTAAGAGGTAGGAAAATCTCAAGTGCTCTGTTTTCCGGGTTAATCAGCACTGGACACCACATTTTGTAAAATGATAATAACTATTATCAGATGACACTTCAAATGAAAATATAAGCAGGGCATTAAACACTGTCCTCAGCAAAAAACCTCAACAATTGGGGAAAGAATAAAAGAAAAAACCCAGGCATGGAGGGCCCTGGGAACTCTCACATCTACAAAAGTCTGCAGCCTGTCCCAGGCACTGGGGTGCAACCAAGATCATAAAAGTCCCTGTCCTCATGGAGCTCACACTGTCATGGGGAGGAAGACAGACATGCAAAGAGATCTAGAATGTGAGGTCAGGTGCTGACAAGTGCTCTGCAGGGAGCAGAGCAGGGAAAGGTCAGAAAGGGAAGACCCAGGGTCTCTGAAGGAGGTGTCAGGAAAGAAGTCTAAGGATGCCCTGATGTGAGCAGGACCTGAGGGTGTTGTGGAGGGAGCCATGAAGATCCCTGGGGAAGAGGATTCCAAACAAAAAAAATGCCAAGGTCAGAAGGGTTGAAGGAATGGGGGTCATGTTGCTGACTTTCACCCAGTAGGATAGTAGGACACACGCACACAAAGACACACACAGACACAAAGGGGTGTGTGTGTGTCCTACTGTCCTACTAGGGTGTGTGTGTATCTTCAAGGCTGATGATTGAAGAGATCTTCTCAGGACCCAGGGCTCAATGCTTTCACCCCCATACATAGGTCTCAATATTGACTGATGCTCTCTCCACCTCCTAGCATCACTTTTAATCTTCTGGAACCCGCCCACCACTGCTCAAGTCACGATTGAAGCCCAGCCAAACAAAGTTTCCGAGGGGAAGGATGTTCTTCTACTTGTCCACAATTTGCCCCAGAATCTTACTGGCTACATCTGGTACAAAGGGCAAAAAATGGACCACCACCTTTACATTACATCATATGTAATAGACGCTGAAACAATTATACTTGGGCCTGCATACAGTGGACGAGAAACAGTATATTCCAATGCATCCCTGCTGATCCAGAATGCCACCTGGAAGGACACAGGATCCTACACCATCGAAATCATAAAGTGAGGTGATAGGACTGAAGGAGTAACTGGACATTATACCTTATACCGTGAGTGATTCCATACGATCCCTCGGTGTGGGGGTGCGGGGTGACTTCTACTTTGCACACACAGGATTGTCAGGCCTAGACTGTGGCTGTGTCCCACTCTGCATTATGTCCCATGTTGGGGTTTTGGCGCTTAGTGCAGGACACACACAGAGGAGACAAACATCAGCAGATCAGAATTCCTTTCCTGCCTCCAGACCCTGCAGACACAGGAAGGACAGTCTGATGGGGGGGGGGTGCTCAGCAGGAGGAGATCAGCCTCAGCCAAGCACCTCATGCCCTCTTCATAAACTTGACCCTGAGAAAGACCCTGGAGAACTGAGCAGGGCTTTGCCTAAGAGGACCCCTGAGATACTCTCAGAGAAACTCAGTCCTAGAAACCTCAACCCCAGAACCTGTCCCTAAATCCTTACTCCAGATAAAGCTGAGGAGCCTGTGCCAGGGCTCGGTTGTGGCAGGGCTTACTGGGACCAAGAATTTACCAGCTGTCTGAGACTGTGTCTGCTGGAGCTGCTAACCAGTCAGGGCTCAGCCCTCAGAGCCTCACCTGGGCAAGGACAGAGCTTTCTTCACCTGAGACTCAGAGTGGAGAGGACAGAAAGACAAGCTTTGTAGGCCATCAGCCAACTGCCTTGTGAGGCTTAGGACACTCCATAGAAAACATAATGTCCCCAGAAGCAGAAACAGAAGAGAGAAAATGTACCTGGCAGCAGCTTGTCCACAGGGATCTGACCTAAAGGTGCTCCTTCATGGAAGTGAATAAATGCTGTTTGTGTGAACACCTCCACTGTGCCGAGCACTAGGTCAGGTGACTGTGAAGAATTTACAATTTATTCACAGATAGAATGAAAAGCCACAGTCCATTTGCCATTTAGCTTATTTGACTGAGTGAAAACTGAGGCACAGGAAGGCACAGTCACTGAACCAGAGTCACACAAACACAAAAGGCAGATCAGGGTCACATGAGGTCTGTCTGCAGCCACAGGCCCATCCTCTCCTCCACCAGAAGTGAGGGCTTATTGGGTTCCAAGGACCCCATAGTCATTTATTGGCTCAAATCCTCTCTTCTTAGGCATCCAAACCTCAGAGGAGTGAGAGCAAATGGTCAGCTGATTAGTCTGTACTCCAGAACTAAATCACCTGCCTCAATTGTCAGAGTCAGTGCAAAAAATGTCCAGGCCTCCCCCTCAGATCTTCAGCCCTATCACTGAACCTGAAATCCTGTGTTTCCCAAAGTGTCCATGTCACTGGCATGACAAGATAAAGGAGAGGAGCTTGTATTCTTTCCCACTTATGCCCTGCACCAGCTCAAGTCCAGTGAGAGACACACACTCAGGTGCTCTCACATAACAAATGAAGGAAATGAATGAAGAAATGAGTGATTCATAATCTCTTTAGAGACTGGATCTCAGATGTAGAATCCTAAGAGGTTCTAGCCACACCTGTCCCTTCTCTTTCAGAGGCTGACGCCCATGTTTCATCCCCCCACTAACTCTTGCCATTAAAGACACCCCACCTCATGTAACATTGAAGTTCCTTGGGCACTGGAGGGTTTTCAGGGCTCCCTGGTCCTGGACTGTGGAAATGGGGACACCTAGTCCCTGGGGTCTCTGAAGTCACTGTAGCCCCCACTGTTCACTGCCATGCTGTCTCTACCTCTCTCTGCTTCTCTGTGTCCCTCATCTTCCTCCCACTTCATTCTAACTGGCAAGCCCTGTCCTGCACAGCTTCTTCCTCCACTCCTAGCCCTTCCCCAGACACTCCCTCTAACTACGCTGACTGTTCTATTCCCTTCCTGCTAACACTGTGGAATGGCCCACCTCCCAGGAAAAGGGAAATGCACAGAAATCAGCTGGAGTTGCCACTCCTGCCAGGCTTCATCTTGAGCTAATGTCCCCAGGTCACTAAGAGAATAAGCTTCCACTGTATCCCCATCCAGAGCTCTTTCCCTTTGTGAGGTTGTTCTGTGGACAAGACCGTGGGACAGGGATAGACAACTCCTCCATCCACTCTTATAATTCCCAGACAAGTTTTTCTGGCCTCCTGCACAATCAAAACCCATTGATCCAGATGGTGATTTGCAGTAAATGAAGATTTTAATGACTTCAAGTCTGCCAAACAGGAGGACAGAGGTTTATTATTACTCAAATCAGCCTCCCTAGTGGATCAGGGGTTAGAGATTTTCAAGGATAGTTTCAGGGACACAGGAGTAAAAAATGGGTACTGCTGATTGTTTGGGGATGGAATCATGCGGGCGGAGGGAAATGATCTGTTTGCGCTTGAATCCATCTCTAGGTGGGGACCACATGACTGGCAGAGCCTTTAGTCATGGGTATGGATGAGATCAGTGGGTTGCCAGAATGCAAAGAATGAGAAACATCTCAAAAGACCAACCTCAGGTTCTACAATAGTGATGTTATCTAGAGCAGCAATTAGTTACAAATGTTGCAAACTCTGACCAAATAACATTTGAGAAGTAAGGGATTATAGAAACTGTGCCTACATTTTAGCAGAATTCAGTTCCCTCCTGTAATCTTACTGTCATGGTCTTCACCAGTTTTACAAAGGCAATCCCTGGGCAAAAGAAGGGTATTAGTGTTATGGAGGAACTATTATCATTCTTGCTTCAAAGTTAAACCATAAACTAAATTCCTCCCATGGTTAGCCTAGCCTACGTCCAAGAATTAGTGCACAAAGGGTTTAAGGACAATGGGAAGTTCCATCATCTATATCTAAGATATCCTTGGAAAGGGAAGCTGCAGAGAAAACATACCTTGGGGGGCAAAGTAAGACTGAAACTAAGACAATTCCAGTACTGCATGCTCCAGGTGAGAAACACAAGGTGAGCCAGGCAGGCAGTTGGAGAGGGAGGGACTCACAGAGGCACCAGGGGCTGTGACTGCTGGTCCCATGTCTTTCCATGACCCAATGCTGCTGCTCAATTCACACTTGAGAAAGTCTGTGTTTCTCCCACATAGAGCAGGCAGCCTCACAATCCCTGAGCCCTCAGATTGCCATCCGTCTTGTAACACACACACCTGCCATGGGCTTTTAAGGACCTGTGTGGGCTGAGAGTTGGGAAAGGCCATCCCTGTATATCTTTGGAGGCATCATAGGTGTAACACAGGGCAATCTTCTCTCTGTTATCTGCACAGTGGAGACTCCCAAGCCATCCATCTCCAGCAGCAACTTAAACCCCTGGGAGGCCGTGGAGACTGTGATCTTATCCTGTGATCCTGATACTCAGGATGTAAGCTACCGGTGGTGGATAAATGGTCAGAGCCTCCGTAACAGTCACACGTTGCAGCTGTCCAAAAACAACAGGACCCTCACTCTATTTGTTGTCACAAGGGATACTGCAGGACCCTATGAATGTGAAATGAAGAATCCAGTGAGTGCCAGCCGCAGTGACCCAGTCACCCTGAATCTCATCTGTGAGTATCTTCTGTTCCTCTGTGAGCCAGGCTGCCATCCCAAATACACATGGCCAGAGGCCAGGCCTCCCAGTCTCTCTCAGGTCCAATACAGACACTTTTACTCCTGGACATCAAAGCTGGCCATGAGTACTAAGAGTAGGCTTAGGCTTGATCAACAACAAGAAAAGGCTGCTCCTGTCATGGGAGAATCACGGTCCACAGCTTATGATGGGAGAAACAGGTGAATGTCTCAGGCTCCTGATCAGTGAACACAGCAGGGATTTGGCTGGGACTTCAGTATTGTGACTTAGCTCACAGGGTCACTGTGGCCCTTCCACAGACCCGGATTTTCCCTTCCCTCTGACAACATCTCCTGTGATTTCTTCTCTTTGCTCCAGATGGCCTGGACGCCCCCACCATTTCTTCTTCATACACCTATTAGCACACAGGGGAACTCCCCAAGCTCTCCTGCCTCACAGACTCTCACCCACTGGCAGAGCATTCTTGGCTGATTGATGGGAAGTTCCAGCAATCAGCACACGTGTTCTTTATCCCGCAAACCACTAAAACATATAGAAGGGTCTATATCTGTTTCATGCATAACTCAGCCACTGGTGGAACAAATTTCATAATCAAGAGGATCATAGTCCCTGGTAAGTGGATCCCTGGAGCATTGGCAATATGTTTTCCAGTGAAGTCTATCTGGCTATCAGGGAAGAGCCACATGCCCTCTGCAAAGGGCGAGGGAAAATCAAAATCCCAGGACAGGGAATATGTTTTTGCTCCAAAACCACCAGCTTTTGCGTGTACTCTTCACTCATTTTAGATCATTCTTTAGACTATACACTAACAATGAACAATGTGAAAGAAAATTCAGAAAAGAACTTTCATTCACATTAACATCAAAAGGAATAAAATATTTTGGAATAAGTTTAACCAAAAAGGTCTAAGGGTTATACCCTGAAAACTACAAAACATTACTGAAAGAAATTAAAGACGACATCAATAAATGGAAAGACATTTCATTCTCGCGAATTGGAAGAATCAATATTGTTAGTAAGACAATACTACCCAAATTGAGCTCCAGATTCAACACATCCGCTACCAGAATCCCAGTAACATTTTTTGCAGAATTACCAAAATCTGTCCAAAATCTGACCTGACAGGCTCTTATTAATGATGGCCACAAGAGAGACACTGAGAAAAAGATGCAACCATGAAAAGGTGGAAACTTTTGATGACATAGAAAATAGCAATCAGCCTCTCTCACATCCCAAAGCCCTCAAAAATATACGAGTGCAGCATGGCCAGTATGGAATTGCCCAAAAACTAATCACCAAGCTAGAAACGTGGTGAGAGAAAAAAAAAAAAAGGCAAGAATTTGTTTGGCTTATCACCTCCCACTTTGGCATACTAATCTGATGCTGAAAAGAAATGTTCACTGGAGCATTTCAGATTTTCAATCCTTCAGATTTGGGATGCTAAAGCAGTAACTATATGACAAATATTTCAGAATCAAGAAATGTCAGAAATCCAAAACACTTTTTGTCCTCAGTCTTATGCATAAGAAATACTCAATTTGTGAGA